CAAAAGATAGGATACGGTTTTTTTGGTAGAGAAAATTTTACGTCATAAGCTCACGTATATATATGCTGAGCAGAATCAGGTGATTCTATTCATCAGGATGGCCGAGCTGTAGTAGCGTTGTATAGGCTAGCTTAAGTAATAGATTAGTAAATCATGTAAATCATTGTAATAGTGTAATAGTCCCTTTAGCATATTCTTAGTACACGAATAGTGTAACTAGACCTTAAGATATAGTTATAAGACACCATCTTGTGAAAAGAAAAGAATAAAAGAAGACATTCCAATTTGAGCAGCGAAAGGAGAAGGTGTTTTATTTAAAACCCGGCTACCACTTTATTAACTTAAACCTGTACATTTCAAACCATAGAGTTTTCTGAACGTGTTAGTGAATTGCAGTGCATTTTAAGTTTGTGAGACGTTGTTTACTTTTACTTCACAGTCAAAAGAGTCAAATCGGCAAACCTAAATCTCGAGTTTGTTTATTTGTTTGTTTTATTTTTATTTGTTATTTTTAACGTTAGTTTTTCTTCTATTTGCTCATTTATCAATCACAATAAACACTTTTTAGGGCGGAATTCGAGGAGTTAAAGCATTTTCGTCTCAGGGTTTTGGGCTTGGCCAAATTGGGAACCGTATTCGTATCGGAATATCAGTTGAAATTGTGTTGAAATTTCGTAATTCGGGCGGCATGGAAACTCCCTATTAATTTTGTGATCGCTTGACTACTTTTTGTTCGTACTGTTTGTTGTCTGCACGTTTTGACATTCGTCTTATCAAAGTTGAGGCTATGTCCAAACAGCTGTTTTTAAATCTCATTCCCACGCATAAACAATTGCATCACGACCATCTCGGCTGGTGTTATCGTGATGACGATTTTCAATTGTTTTAATTAATATTTGTATATTTTTTATAACATAGAGTTGCAGTAAGATTTTTGATAAGTGCGCAAATTATTGGAAAGCATGCAAAATTCTCGACATAGCAGTAGTTTGCTCAAGACGCTCGCGCGAAATCTCAATTTACGTGCAATACCACCTAACTCAGCATTGAATGCAGTCGCCCTTTTTGCCAGTAAATATGTGCATCTTAGCAGTTACATGCATGCACGGTATAAGAAGACCGGTCCGCAACATGTTTCCACACTTTTTAAACCAGTGCCAGTTCCGCGAAATGCAGATGAACAGGACGTGGGCGCCGAAATGGTAGGCAAGTTGGATAAGGCTGAACTCTTAAAAACTCTTAACAAATTCACTCAAAAGAGGGAAATCAAAGCGCTATGTATAGAAAGCGGTCTCGATTGTAAGTTTTTAATTTATACATTAAACCACGCAAAGTTATTAATCACTAATTCTACCAACAGCTTACCTACAACAACAAGCATTTGCTTCATTTCGGCGCTATTGTATTGAGGCGGAAAATCTTCCCGTGGATTTACACATAACCATTAGTGATATATTGCAAAATGCCGGCCACGTTGATGACATTTTTCCTTTTTTCCTGCGTCACGCAAAAACCATATTCCCTCATTTAGAGTGCATGGACGATTTGAAGAAAATCTCTGACTTGCGCACACCTGCTAACTGGTATCCAAGTGCACGTGCAATAACGCGCAAAATTGTATTTCACGCTGGGCCGACCAATTCAGGGAAAACTTATCATGCTATGGAGCGCTTTCTAACTGCCAAGTCAGGAGTGTATTGCGGGCCATTGAAGCTGTTAGCCACGGAAGTGTTCAACAAATCAAACGAAAGGGTAAAAGTAGAAACTATTCAGCTAAACGAATTATATTTTTTTTTTGCATTCAGGGTACGGCGTGTGACCTGGTCACGGGTGAAGAACGTAAATTTGGTATCAACGAAGAGACTCCGGCAAGTCATGTGGCTTGTACAGTTGAAATGACTTCTGTGAATACACCTTGTGAGTTTGAGGCGTTCTATAGTACAAATTTCTTTATTTACTCCATTCTACTCCCCTAGACGAAGTCGCTGTTATCGATGAAATACAACAGTTGCGTGACCCACAACGTGGTTGGGCGTGGACTCGTGCCTTTCTAGGTCTCATTGCTGACGAAGTGCACGTGTGCGGTGAAGCCGGTGCTTTGGAACTATTACAGAAAATTTGTGAAACTACGAATGAGACTGTAGAAGTGCATAGCTACGAAAGACTTACAGAACTGACCATTGAAGACTCGGCTTTAGTAAGTTTAGATAACATCCAGCCCGGAGATTGCATCGTGTGTTTCAGTAAAAACGATATTTATTCCGTATCGCGCGAGATCGAGGCAAGGTAAGGGGGAATTCAAATACATATGTATGTATCAAAAAAATTATTTTGGGCATGAAAACCATAAAAGGTGAAACATTTTTACAAAGTTCGTATATCTTGCACTTCTAGAGGCAAAGAAGTTGCAGTCATCTATGGAGGACTGCCGCCAGGAACCAAGTTAGCACAAGCAGCAAAGTTCAATGACCCTGATAATAGCTGCAAAGTAATGGTCGCCACAGATGCCATTGGCATGGGACTTAATTTGTAAGTGAATTATTCAGCAAACATTCAATAAATATATAACTTGGCTGTTTTAGGAGCATACGACGCATCATCTTCTACTCAATAATGAAACCCTCAATGAACGAAAAAGGTGAACGTGAAATTGATACAATATCTGTGTCATCAGCGCTGCAGATAGCTGGTCGCGCTGGACGTTATCGTACTCAATGGGAACATGGCTATGTCACGACCTTCAAAGCGGATGATCTGCAGACCTTACGTAAACTCTTGGATCAAAAACCCGAACCACTAAAGCAAGCTGGCTTGCACCCTACCGCCGATCAAATTGAGCTTTATGCTTATCATCTACCAAATTCGACGCTTAGCAATCTTATGGTACGTGGTGAATCGTTAAATAATTAATTTATTTTGAACAATAATTCCATCCTAGGATATCTTTGTAAATTTATGCACTGTTGACGATTCATTGTACTTTATGTGCAATATTGAGGATTTTAAATTTTTAGCTGAGATGATTGAACACGTTCCACTGGCACTTCGCGCGCGCTACGTATTCTGTTGTGCACCTATTAATAAGAAAATGCCTTTCGTATGTTCTATGTTCCTAAAGGTAAAGAGAATGAAACTAAAAAATTATAATGCATCCAATTTGTACATATATGCATTCCTAATTATTCGCAGATTGCCAGACAATATAGCCGCAATGAACCAATCACCTTCGAATTCATCACCTGTAATTGTGGTTGGCCTTTCGCTTTGCCAAAAACTATCATTGATCTTATGCACCTGGAATCCGTATTTGATGTAATGGATTTATATTTATGGCTGAGTTACCGTTTTATGGATCTATTCCCAGATGCAGCAGCAGTAAGAGTAGCGCAAAAAGAATTAGATGATATAATACAGCAAGGTGTTTTTCAAATAACGAGGTTGCTTAAAAACTCAGAGGCAAGTCAGAGTGCCGCCGACGGCGATATAACTTATAACTTACGACGTGCAACACAAATGCGAGGTATGCAACTCTATATAGATATTTATGTAAATGTATGCCTATTTTATTCTGTTTTGTACAACATAGAGCCACGCATTCCAAGTGCGTCACGCGGTCGCCTCACTGAGCGCTTATTAGCTCAAGGCTTGTTAACGCCCGGCATGATTAGCGAATTGCGGAAGGAGTGGGATGCACAACAACAGTCGCTAGCACAGCCCACAGGTGATATTTCATCCGACGAGGATGACGAAGGAAATAACAATGCATACAAGAAAATGCGACGAAAACGCCGCAAGTGAAATGGAGTAAATAATATACAAATTAACGCAGTTGTTTTAGCAATCCCGTGCATCAAAATTGTACAGTTTTTATTCGTTGTAAAATTTGGGGACATATTTGCAGGCGCTGACCAAATTCGTAATAGATAAATTTGTTTTATAGTAAATATATATGTATGTATATTTAGATACATAAAAGATATATATGTACGTACATATGTATGTATGCATACATATGCTTATCGTTGTTTAAAGTGCAAAACCGCGTATCAGCAAAACGCAAAACCGCGTATGTGAGACTGCATAATTTATTTTCTAGAGAGTAAAAACACTAATATTTCAAAATGGTTATCTTTTTTATAAAACAAAAGCATTTCTGGCTAGTATATTTCAGCACGAATGGATAAGGATTGAGCCAAGAGCTTGTGTGAGCAAATCCAATTTTTGGCAGCCAATGTTAGTTACGCGGTTTTGCAGAATGACGATACGCGGTTTTGTACTTTATACGACGTTATACATCAATTTGTTAATCATTTAGAAGTACGGAAGGCGAAATAAAAAAATTTCAACTCGATTATAAAATAGATAAGTAATTAAAAGAAAATCGTTAAAATAGAAATAAAAGTATTTTATTTCAGCCCAAGTTCACAAAAAAACATAAATACATTAATACATTAGTTTATTTATTCTTCTCGAAAAAAGGATCGCATCGAGGAGCAGATCCATAGTAACTGAGGCGTTTAATTTTGGGTCAAAGTAACGGTTCCAATACTAACGGGTATTCTTGAGCCGTCTCACAATAAGATACCCTAAAAACTTACGGAAATTAAAAAAGAAGTTCATGATACCTTCACCACATCGCTGATGTCATGCTCGGGTGCGTTCAGAAATGCATCAAGCAAAAGCATCAGTCTCTTTTATTTCTAAACTATAATTGATAGAAATGTCAAATATGCGCAACCACGGTTATAAGGCGAATTAGAACTTAGTTGCGTAAGTAAGACATTTCCATCAATTATAGTTTAGAAGTAAAAGATACTGATGCCTTGGCTTGATGCATTTCTGAACGCTCCCCTCAACTAACAGGAGGTATGCCACTCCGACTGGGTTGGGTTTAGAGGGCATGTGAAAAGATGTTGCGAGTCGTGAGGTGTCTCCGCATGGCGGACGCTCATTAGATATATCTGTATTTATCCTGCGCAGGTAGGAGTTTACCCTGCAGCAGTATTTAGTGGGATATGGTGGTGCGAGTTTCCCGAGGCAGACGAAGTATAGATGAAGAGGAGCGATAATGCGATACGAAAGAGCAATGCAATGCGATAGACAAATACATAGTAAGTAAGACGCTGTGGCGATTGCCTATTGCATCACATTTCTCTTCGTATCGCATTACAGAGTACCTCCCCAGGTGTCTTTTCGGATACTTACAGCTGTGGCAACCTACTAGGGACTGCTTACATAGCGTAGTGTTGTGCTCCTTGACGGGAACAATTGGGCCTCGTCATGTAGCTGTACTTTGGTAACTTCCGAAGACATCCCGTGGCGGCCGGAGTGCCATGTTTTGGCAAGTCTGTGGATTCGTCCACTACGTCCTGCTGGTCCCCGTCGACCAAATGGGCGCTGCATAGTTTGGAACCGGCCAGCGATTTGTCTTGTTTATTGGCAACAACGATTGTTGGCCTTTACCCCAGGTGTTGCCGGCTAACGGCTTTAGGTGCTTGTTGCGGCTCTGTAGCAATTGTAGTAGATGATGGTTAATTCCCAGCTGTAGTCAGACCTCTTTCGTCCGGTGGTGAAAATATTGCAAAGGATTTCGTAGCTAGTTGAGTGAGCTTTCAGATATGGTAATTAAACAGGAGAAGGGAAGTATACCTCCCTATGGGACCCCTGCTAAATTCTTCTTGGTTCGCTAGTTTTATATCTGAAAATTACTGATGAATGTAGACCACTCGNTATGGTAATTAAACAGGAGAAGGGAAGTATACCTCCCTATGGGACCCCTGTTAAATTCTTCTTGGTTCGCTAGTTTTATATCTGAAAATTACTGATGAATGTAGACCACTCAGATAATTCGCTGCTCATCGTTTTAGTCCTCGTGGGAAGCCTCAATATATTCTAGTAGCAGACGGTGTCAAACACATTTGACAGATCCCTGGCTAATAGAACTATTCTCTCACAGGGGCGGTTTTGGTTCAGCCCCCGAGTTATTTTAGTGTTTATGGTATTAAGTGCTGTGGAGGAGCTGTGCAATTTTCCGGAGCCTTCTGCTGCTTTTCTGCGTTCCAGTGGTACGTAAAGTGCGGTAGCAGCAAGGACTCTAATGCCTTCGCGGCGGGAGGAGTAGTGTTATCGACCAACAAGACTCCCCTTTGTTATCTGGCTTCACCGATTTCAGTATCGGGACCCCTCTCTCCAATTTCCGCCCGTCCGCTGGTGAAAGCAAGGAGTGTACTATTTTTTGGTAGTTTGTGCAACTTTTGCTCACTTGATGCGGGCATTTCTTCAGGCCCTACAAGGCGTGGTTGTCGAATGAGATTTCAAGCTTAAACAGACGACAGTGTTGATTCGGATTAACTCGAACTTAATCCGGATCAACTGCAGTTAATTCCCGATTTGATCCGGATCAACGCTGCTGTATGTTTATACTTTTCCTCTCTGAAAGTTATTACTCGTTGGATCGAATAGGACTTTACGATTTACCAGAGCGCACTTTGGCGGGGATCCCCACTCTCATTCGCGAGAGTATGTTCCATCTGGAAGCTTATTCGCTAATTGGGTCTCTAAATTTTAACCCCTTTACTAGGGATTTATAAGGTTTTAGCGTTTTTGAAGTAGATGTTACGTTCTCGTTGAAGATCCTTCTTCGTTCCATAGCTCTCTACTGTATACTCTAAGATTAGGTCTATAGTCTTCACAGCATCTAGTTTTCTTGGTATTATTAAATAGCTTTTCTAAATAAGTACTGAAAAGCAGCGAGGAACCCACTTAGCTTTCAAGTGCTTTGATTTTAAATTTCCCATTAAGTTAGGTTGGATTGTTGCGGTGCACAGTGCGACCGAGTCCCAAAAGTGCCGCCGTAATTCGAAAAAATAAAGTTTCTAGATAGGCCTTTTTTGGCATTGAGTTAGCTAAAGGGATCACCTATGAAGCGAAAACCGTTCACTGTAACGACCTGTACCCTAAGTCATCTCCTTATATTTATTTGTAGTATGAAAAGTTAATAACGTATAAAACTGGTTAGAGAATAAGAAATCAAGCAAAACCAAATGGATTCTACGTCCGAAGGTTATTAAAATACATACGTTAAAAAATTTGTGAAAACTAATACTGTAACAGAAATTTTTAAGAAATAAAGATATAAAGGTATTTTTTCGTTTATTTTTAAACAAAATTTGAGTTGTTAAATGTAACAGTAACAAAACGCTGTCAGATGCTGCCTTTAAACCTATTGGAGTTTACGCAGAATAGTAAACCAAAGTTAGGTGCTCATTTCTGATCCTTATATTTTTTTTGTGTGTTTTTTTTAACACGCTTATACAAATTAGTTTCAACTGTATGTAAAATGTCCAGCTTTTTAATTAGATTTCACAGAAAGATTTTGAGTATGCAGTTTTGTAGCCCATTTAACTTAAGTATAATATAGTCACGCTTAAAGTAGCTGGGATATACGGTTGATTTTTGAAATATTTTTTTGTTGAAAGGGTTGCTCATTTTCTTCATATCAGCGAATATAAATACTTCGTATGGAAGAAAATGACTCGCACTGACAAATAAAATGTCAAAAATCAACGGTAAGTCCTAACTGCTTCAAACTTGGACTTTGCCACTTAAATTGAATGGGCTATAAAACTGCATACTCAAAATCTTCTTCTAAGAAATATAATTAAAAAGCTCGAAATTTACCAGACGCCATACTGGATCCGCCGTTTCGGATTTTACAATCCCGACAGCGGATTAATAATTAGTGACATCGAAAATCCCCAAGTACGAAATTTCGAATCATTATTTCAAAGCTTCGAATTTTGGCCGCACTGTGCGGTGGTCTATAAGACGCACTCAGGCTCAAGGCCCATTGTATTGTCGCATTTGGGGTCAGAAACTCCCACCGTTTTGAACTTCGCAGGAATTTGGAAAATATTCCCATTACATACAAATAATAATTTCAGCACATCAATATTTCCTTTTCACCCTTTTATTATTCATTCATTGGCAAAATGATTATTTTGTTGTTCATTTTTTAATTTGTATCATTAGTTTAATATGGATTTTAATATAATAAGAGAGTTACACAGAAATCATTTAAAAAAGTGTGTTTTCTTTATGTTAATACAAAAAACTGGGTCTCAATTAATTTTCTATATACTAACATTTGCTAATTTATTCCATGCAACATCTGCTAGATCATTAGATCATGGAAATTTTAAGCACTCACATTTTATAAATGAAAAAATAATGTTTTTAATTTCTATGTATTTTTCTTTGTGTGCTGAAGAATAAAGGCTGAATTATAAAAACAATAAGCATTGCAAACGATGCTAGCTTGCAGTTGAGACCGTTTTCTCAAGTAGCTTTTAAAATTTATCCACCCTTAAGACACAAATTGTATTTCCTAGGAAGCTACTTGAGAAAACAGCACTTACACTTCAAAATTTAATAAAACGATTTCGAACTAAATAAAACTACACTGCAAGCTGATTTGCAAACAGAAGAGCCTAAAAAAAAAAGATCGCTCTCACATTGTAAACGCTCCTTAATAAAATTATAAACTACTTAATTTGATTATAAACTTCACTAACATTTTTCTTCTGCATACATATGTATGTACTTATTTTTTGTAGAAAAAAAACACCGTTCATTTCTTGTACTTAATCTAGTGTTTAATTAATTTAAAAAAAAAAATCTAAGGCGTTATTAGTTTATGCAGCAATGTGCTAAAAGCATAATAATTAGTATATAACAGTGTTTAAAAGACGAAAATTGTTTGTGTTTTTATAAAAAACATTTCGCATAAATACTTTGGGCATATAAAATATAAATCAGAAACCTAAATACTTGTACATATGTAAAGAACAGAAAGCACAAATATATATGTTTCATAAAGATCCTGCTGACATACATACATAAGTACATGCAAAAAAATTCTAGTTAATACATATTTAGTTGATTACAAAATAAATATTTATTTTCGTTTCAAATTACGACAGTCTCAAGACAC